ACTTGAGAGGTGTTCATGACCGCCTCTGAAAAATGTAAATTTGGTTTTACTGTCCTTAAACGAAACTACGAAAATTCAAAATAATGCATCAAAACAGAAAAATCAAGCGAGGAAATCACAAAATAAATTCTATATCCCCCCTACAGAATTTATTTTATGAGTTCCTCGCTTGATTTTCTTCGTGGTTTCATTGAAGTAAGAATTAATGTACCTTTTTCGGAGGCCGACCTGAACGCCTCTCGAGTGGAACGGAGGAGAAGGCACGGAGACCCGACAAATACGTACAACACCTGTATTTGTTCAGACTGTGAAAAACATTAATAAAGTCTGCGTTTTAAAAAAAATAAAACCACAACCACAGCTCTCATTTTTTCAACAAATACAGGTGCGTCTTTGTCCGTCTCCTTCCCTTTTTTTCTTCCGGTCAACTCGAGAGGCGTTCAAGACCGCCTCGGAAAAACACATTGGCATTTCCTTAACGAATCTCCAAGAGTACGATCAGATAAGATAAAAAAGGGAAAACCTTGAATAGTCTCACAATGGAGAAATTCTCACTGCACAGCAGCAAAGTTATGAGAGGAAGAAGAAGAACAACAAAATAAATGGGAGCTGCTGGAAAGGCAGCCACTCTCACGGCGCCTTCTTGAAGTCAAAATAACACAAGATGTCAGTGGTAGTTATTTATTCCTTTGATGTGTATTCACAAATGTTGAAATCACAATAGAAATTCTGTAGGGGGGGGCTACATAATTCATTTTGTGATATCCTCGCTTGCTTTTCAGTTTTGATGTATTTTCAATTGTTGTAGTTTCATTGAAGTAATAGTTTACGTTATTTAGGTGGCGGTCGTGAACGCCTCTCGAGTCGAACGGAAGAAAGCACGGAGACAGACAAAGACGGACCTGTATTTGTTGAGACTGTTTTTAAAAAATAACACCACAGCTCTCCTTTTTTTCGGAGCTGCAAAACAAACTTATTTAATAAAGCAGCGACACAGTTCACTTAACCGAACCAACAGCAAATTATAACATTGGTGGCATGTCTCCAGGAAGGAGCCATCTTGGAATCGACGTATTACCGTAATGACCATACAAAAGACGCACCGGATTTTAAGGCGCTCGGTGAGCTTT